TGGAGGAAGTGTGGGGTGGTGCTGAGGGTCCAGTGTCTATAGTGGAGTTAGCTCTGGATCAGAGGTCTGTTCACTATCCTCTCGTTCAGCATCACTGTGTGTTAGCGTCACTGCTGCACGCCGCCATGACCTTCTCTTTGCGCCTGAAACCACTCAGCCTGTTTGACAGCAAGGTAAAAGCACACAATTCTGCATTTATACATGCACACCTCAATAAAATTTAGAAATGTGCTGTTTAGTGCCTTAAAGGTGCCATAGAATGGAAAACTGTATTTACCTTGGCATAGTTGAATAATAACAGTTCTGTACATGGAAATTACATACCGTGAGCCTCAAACACCATTGTTTCCTCCTTCTTATGTAAATCTCGTGCATGCAAAGACCACTGAAAAATAGTCAAATCAGAACATAACACCGACTGTGACGTTACAGTCGGGATCACTAATAGTTACGCCCCCAACATTTGCATATACCCGCCCATGCTCTATGCCAGCCGCCAGCCGGAAAATAGCGCGAGCCACTAAAGGGACATGGTTAGCTGCTTGCTAGCTGTAGCCTGTTACATGACAGTACATAAGATTTCACTTACCACATAAACAGAGTAAGGATAGATGACTGAGGATGATGGCGAATGATTTACAGATCCTGAGCACCACAGACAAGCATCTCATCTTATGAATGAGATGATGTGTGGTAAGTACTGCCGCTGTAATTTACACAGAGCACGTGCGATCGCAAATCTCGAAAGTGAAAGTAAAAAGCGATCGTGCATTCGAATATATTAATAGCGGATCCCTGATGACCACATATTATATACAGTATAATTACCCAACGATATAACTGCAAGAGAGCGTACTGAAATATATATTTTCCCTGTGTTTCCTTCATGCTGTGTGAGCTACTGAAATGAGCCGCACTGTGAAACAGCCAATCAGAGCAGAGCTCAACATTATTATTCATGACCCTTCCATATAAGGTAAAAACAGGCCATTTCATTCTAGTGACAATTGACAAATCCTAGTGTTGTAAATGGACATGTAAAACTGTTTCTGGAGATTTTTTGTCCTTACCTAAGCCACATACCTTCTATGTAGATATCGGAGAACAATTTAAAATATTGTATCAATGCATTCTATGGCACCTTTAAAAAAGTAATGGTGAAGTGATTAGCCATGGTTCTTATGTGTGTGACACAGGTTCGACTCAACATGTACTGACCTAAATCTACTTCTACATTTTTTCACTTTCAAGAAGCCGTTTTACTCGAATATACATCACTACAAGGAAGAAAAGGTGATTGAAATTTCTGCTTTATGATGACTAATTCATGTTGTCTTTTTCTGTCACCTACAGGGTAAGAATGCATTTTTTAGAGATTTGTCGTCTATCCAGTTGCTGCCAAGTGGAGACATGGACCACAATCTGGTCACAGTGAGACAAGAGGTGAGTCACAGTGCCACTCTCAGCATTGGAGGGAGAACTGCAATCATCAAGAACATCTCCATGCAAAATGACTTTATTTTATTCCAAAGATTTTATAGTCACATGCATCTTGTACAGTGACAGTGAAGTGTAGACCAAAAGATTCTCGAATAACAGATCATAAGATGTTTATAGCTTGCCTCTGAAACCAGTGTTGATGTATTACTCTCTTGTGCATGTGTGTAGTTTCTGATGAACGTGTTAACAGGCTGGGTGAAGGTTCTAGCTGAATCTGAGGAGAACGGTGTCAAACACAGCAGCACTGAAGACATGTGGCCGTCTGTGTGTATGGAGCTCTCGTCTATACTGCAGGTCAATACTGACATCCTGCGCAGACACCTCGTCTGTGAGCTCTACAACCAGGGCCTGGACCTGCGGGCAGAGGAGGTAACACACACACTCTGTTAAACCTCCTGAGCATATATACAACAGTGAAATATAGAGATGCTAATGAGCTTTCTTTTTGCTTTTGCTTTTTTTAACCCTTTCTTTTGGTTTTATTTTTGTTTTGTTTTCTCTTTTGTTCTATTTTTGTTTTTAATTATTTTTTTCTTTGTATATATATATTTTTTTTTTCTCTTTTTGTTTTGTAATTTTTCTTTATTTTTTCCTTTTTTCATTTTTTTCTTAGTATGCATTTTATCTTTCTACTTTTTTTCATTTTTCTTTTTGTAATTTTCTATTTAATTTTTTCTATTTGTATATATCTTTCTTTTTTCTTATTTTTAACTTTCTCTTTGTACTTTTTCTTTTTATCGTTATCTCGCAGGTGATGATGGAGGTGCAGGACAAAGATGTTTTGGGCTCTCAGCTGCTGGTGTTGACTGGTCAGAGACTCGCGTTCTCTTTGCTCCACTCCCAGTCACAGACCAAACCCAACATGGAGCTGTTGGCCCGTCTGCCGCCCACCCTCTGCACCTGGCTGAAGGCTATGGTGAGATCTCACAGACTGCACAGTTCTCAAATCTCTTACCATCTTACACTCATCTGTGTCATGGTGTGTGTGTTGCTAGGACCCCAGTGAGCTGCGCTGTCCCTCAGTCCCTCTGTCTCAGAGCAGTCGACTGATCAATAAAGTCATCGAGATGCTCCCCGAAAACCACGGCCAGTACAGCCTTGCCCTCCACCTGCTGGAGGCTGTGGACTCTTTACATGAAGAGCCCTGATATAAAGAAATGCACAGGAAGAGAGAATGAGAATCATGTTTTTTTTTTTATATTCTAGAATTTAAAAGTTTCCAAGAAGCCCTGAGACCTGGAAAACCACCCAGTCAGCAGCCTAAATAAACACATCTTCATCATCATCCGTAATCTGCTTAATTTAGCAGACTTTAATCTCTTTTTCACAACAGTCACTAAAATAACATATCTAGAGCACTAGCACATCTAGAGGATGTGCTATCCCACAATGCCTGTGCACACTGAACGTGTCACAAATAAAGGGCCTGGAGTCTCTAGTGTCTAGAGTGTTATTAGGATAAAAACAAAAACAATGTAATTTATGTACAGTAGTCCTGTAATTAAAGAATGACGTTCTTTACAAGGAAGCTTTAAAATTATATTGTGCTGTAATCAGTATAATCAAAACATTACAGTATATTAACACCAGGGGTTTTTCTTTTTTTTTTTCAAATTCTAGCTGTTCTTGTTCATTTATTCTGCCAATTAAACATGTCTGCAATGTCTCATTTATGCTGTTTATTAGTAAACAAGCACTAAAATATAATCTGTTATTGTATGTTATTTTAAATGTACGAGCTTAGGTGTGGTTGCAAGGTGAGACAAAAGAAAGATTTCTCTTCAGTAGAGCTGACCTTTTATGCAGTCCCGTACCAGCTGTGCCTGGCTGCTCATATAATGCTACGTTAACCATGATACCAAAAATAAAGACATTTCAGAGAACTGTTGTGTAGCTCATTGTCCTCAAAATGAAAGCATTAAACTAGCAACAACATTAGAATAAAAGAACCACAAAGACATTTAATTCTATTTGTTGCACTGAATTATGTGACCCAAGCAGGCGCTGTAGTGAGGGTAGGTTTAGGGTTAGGATTGGGTTTAGGAGTAGGTCGGATTAACTCAATACAGCGCCTACTATGGTCACAGAATTCGGTGCAACACCGGTATGGTGCTACAGTCCCTACGGTGCACATTTGCTTATCTGCAATATTGGGGGGAAAATGCAAACACCATTGATCACCATTTACCTCAGGAAATCCATTCAATGTCCACTACAGCAGCTTGTAAAAAAGAACTACAGAGACAAGCTTATTTACTTCACCTTTTCATAGTTTGTTCGATTATACTGTGAAAATCTTAAACGTTACACACAGTATGATAACAGTCGATTTTAATACCGTCTTATGTTGGTATACCGTCCTCTAGATATCTGTATATACACTGTATTGGGAGGAAATGCAGCCAGATGGAGAATCTTACCTGTGTGCAAATCTCCTTTCCTACTCCATTGCCTCAGACTGGTCAATGTGTACTACACACACACAGTGCTCCACACACTGTTATTTTTGATGAGAAACTAAGTCTCCGCTTTAAAGTTCTGTCCACTTCCCCATTAAATCCAAACCGTTTTGGTGGTCTTTAATGTGACGCACAAATTTGGCAGACTGAGAACCTCCAATGTGTGTGTCATCTCTTCTCTTTACTACTACTTATAGCAGGAAATAAACATGAATGAACACAATGTGGTATTTAAGAAGTGTATTAGCGTTCACGTAATAATATTTACCTCAGGAAAGCCATGTCCAATATAGCTCATTAGTCAGCAAGAAAAAACAACTGCAGACATGAACTCATTTACTTAACCTGTTGGTAATTTACATATGTTTGAGTAAATTTGTCATGCAGACAAGTTTTTATGAAGAATATTATTATATAAATTTGGGAAAGTGGGAACACATGAAGACTCACATTGAGATTCATATTCTCTTTCCTGTATGTACTGTTTATTGGTTTAGCAATAAAAGTGACGTCATAAAGCATCAATTTACAGGTAAACCAAGAAACTAAAATAAAAAAAACTCTCCTCACTGAGCCTCATTAATGAAACAAGCAGAATGAATGTGTAAAGTTTGTAAACCCATTGTTAGATAAACTGCCACATTCAATGTCACAATTTAAGACTGGTTTCACTACTGACTTCTGCTTTGGCTTCATGAATAAGTCACACTGACATTACAGTACGTCTTCAGTTCAAAATATCACAATAAAACATACTAGGGCTGGGCCGATAAACGATATCATATCGAATCGCGATAAAATTTATGTCGATAATGATGATAAGCTCTGGACATTTTTACTCGATATGGATTGATCCAAGAGCCACACAGCAGAAATATGCGACAACAGCCAATCAGCGTGCACGTGCGAAGCAAACTCGACACGACGACGACAAAAAAAAAAAAATTTAATGAGTGGAAGCGGCGACGAAAGTGAAACTAACCGTGGACATAACCAGGGCCGTTTCTTACTGTCTAGCGAAAGAAATGATAGTCATTGTTGGGATACTCTTTTAAAGCTGGAAGCATTAACAACTTATATCGAAATATATATCGTTATCGTTCAATATGGGAAAAATTTATCGAGATTACATTTTTGCCATATCGCCCAGCCCTAAAACATACCCCTTCATGACTTGAATATACATAAAAATAAAGATAGACGTGTCAACCAAACCTTTCACCCACCACAAAAACAAGCACGCATGGACATACACATACACCAAGGCCCTTTTCAGTGTACTGAATCAGTTTGCTTAAACTTGTAGCAGAGAACTGCACTATTCAAATCTGTCAGATCCCAGGTCAGTGCTCATATTGTAAGTATGATCTGAATCTGTTTTTTTGTGGACGTTTTTGTCTCAGATGAATCTCCTGTTTGGTTTTTCCTTCCAAATTCCTCCTTTGTTCATTTATAACAGTTCATCTCCCGTCTGACCCCTGAGAAACACGGTCCCCCTCTCCCACACCTTCAGACAACTTTCTGCCTGTTACAATCGCCGCTTCATTCTGGTCCATGTTAGCCCTTGCAATCTTTTTTACCAGAGGAGGAGGAGAAGGAAGGCAACAGTCAGGGTGATTACTTGGCGTTTTCCAGCACGGTCTGGCATCGTGGGCAGAGGCAGTCTGGCTCATCTGATGTGTATCGTCGACATCTCGGACAGTGTGATAGAGAGGTGGGCATCGCAGCTACGATGTATGTACTCTCCTCCCGGATCATGCCCCCTACACAACACACAGATGAGCAGAATAAAATGCAGTTCTATCTTGCAAAACTACCTCAACAAGTTACTTCAGTGTTACATACTTTTTTTTTTTCTTAATTGGGATTCTTATTCTGTTCCCCCAAGTAAAGACAGGTTTAACTGCTTATCTTTCTGACTTGAATTTTCACCAACAAAATATTCAAAAAAATGAAAGAAACACGATAATTTATATCTGAAGCAAAGTATCTTACCTTCCAGGTTGATGAGGAAGGTTCCTGTGCTTGTGATGGCATCCGATGGCAAATCCCGCGGGAGAGAGCTTGCCAGAGTCGTGCGTGAGGCCATCATGAGCTCTGTCAGCTGGGAGCAGGTGGAAGTGGGCTCCTCTTGAAGAGACTGACAGAGAAGGGTGGAAAACAACATACAAAATGATTTAGCTGCAAGCAAATGAAGCAGAACATTTTATTATGTATTTAAAAACCTTTTCACACCAAATACAAATGTTCGGTGTGAAAAATTAGTGCAAAATATTTTCATTTGAATGAACAGACGTTAATGTGTAACGTCTGACACAAACATTTGCATACTGTCAATGTCGCTTTTTATTTTATTTTTTTTTACGCAGAGGTGTTCTAATTTCTTTTCCATTGCACTACAAAGAAAACTGGCCAACAAATAAGATTTGTGCTTTCATTCACAGGCCCAGAGCCACTGCTGTTACATAAAACCACAACTTAATGGCACTCATAGCGAAACTAAAAATCTAAATGGTTGTTTGAAAACATGTAAATGCAGTTTGACTTAATTTTTTTTCTCTGTGACAAACAGAAACGGAAAGTTGCATAGTGCTCTATGTACAGGGTTACCGGGATATCTTCTATAAGCACTACCTACTGTCAGATATTGAATTTGCATGTCCATCTTCCATTTTTATGCACTTGTCTGAACAGACACCACAATCAAGCTGTATTTCTGTGTCCAACATTTGTAGTGTGAACAGGCCTTAAAATCAATGATGTACCTCCATGAGCTCAAAGAACAGGCTGGGCTCAATGGCAATGATGAGCTCATACTCAGCAGCATTACGTCCCGGAATAGAAGACAGGAAGGAATCTCTGATAGCACACGCACCCTCCACTGCTTCCTCCAGTCCTGGCCTCCGCCAAACAGAACTGGTCTTAATCCAACCGCTACGAAACAAAGTGTCACCCTCTACAGACAAAGAGAGAGGTGAGAAGCGTTACAGTGAGATAGATGTGCAGCATCAGTTTTGTACGGAAATTGCATGTACCATCATGTCCAGGAGCGTGTAGGTACACCTCCTCAGCAAGATGAGGGAGTACAGGAGCGATACAACGACTCACTCCATCCAGAATCTCTTCTAAAACTGTCTGACACGACCTCCGACCAAGGGAGTTCTCAGGGTCACAATACAGCCTGAGAGAGAAAAAGAGAGTGAGGCTTTTTGCTACAGAACATTAGAAAAATAGCTTAAGGATTTTAAAACACAAAGTTACATAATCGAACGAGTGGTTACCGATCTTTAATGATGCTGAAATAGAAGTTAGATAAATCTCTAGTGATGAAGGATTGCAGCAGACGGATAACACGGCCATTGTCAAACTCACTGTAAGCATCCGTTACCTACAGCACACACAAACACACATGACGTGATCGACTGCAGCGTAGAGCTGGTTTATACCCAGGCTGTAGAAACATTTTAAACGGTTAACATTGAGACTCACCTTCATGCTGAACTCTCTGAGCACGTGCAGCATGAACTGATCTATGTAGTGAATTTGTTTAGGGTCCACGGCCTGGGAACGAGGATCAAAACCCTGGAGATTCCCCAAGAGAAACCTCAGTGTGTTCCTCAGCTGGAGAGAGAGAAGAGCAGTTGAAAAAGAGGCCATTAGCAAAAAAATTTAGCATAAAATTTTGATCAACACTACTGTTCAAAAGTTTGGGGTAGGTAAGATTTTGGTTTTGATAACACGTCTTTTATGCTCACCGAGGTTGAATTTATTTGATCAAAACACAGTAAAACGATAATATTGTGAAACATTACAATATAAAATAACAGATTTCTATTTGAATGTATTTTAAAATGTAACTTATTCCTGTGATAGCAACGCTGAATTTTCAGCAGCCATTAATCTTATTATCGATGTTGAAAACAGTTGTGCTGCTTTATATATTTTTTGTGCAAACTGTGACAATTTTATTTCAGGATTCTTTGAGGAATAGAAAGTTCAAAAGAACAGCATTTATTTAAAATAGAAATCTTTTGTAACATTATAAATGTCTTTTTTTTTTTTTTATCTATTGCATCCTTGCTAAACAAAAGTATTAATAAAAAATTCTTTCTGACCCTAAACTTTTGAAAGCTAGTGTAAAAATCTCCTTTTGAATTAGCATTGATTGGCAGCAATCTAATGCATTCGTTTATAAGCCAGACCTTGTTGATGCTGTCTTTAGCAGCGTTTAGTGTGTTCGGTCCGATCTGAACTTCAGAAAACACGTTTGACTCTGCAACCCACCATCTCAAAACATCAGCACCATATGGAGGAGAGACAGACAAGTCCTGGGAGAGAGAAATTGATGTTTGAAAGCACTGACTGATTGATATAATTTCATTCTATTAATAGTTGATCATATCTTACCTTCCCTCCATTAATAACAACATCTGGGTCGATCACGTTGCCTACGGACTTAGACATTTTTTCTCCTCTCTCACTCACAGCAAATCCATGGACCACCAGAGCTCTGAAACACACGCAGAAAGTCACCAATATGTTTTTCGACATGTGTATTTTCATTTGCATATATGACTCACTTGTAAGGGGCTTTATTCCGAACAGCTACACTGGTGAGGAGAGACGACTGAAACCAACCGCCGACCTGATCTTTCCCCTCCACATATGAGTCTGCACGCGGGTCTGATTCTGAAAGAGAGAGACAGTAAGATTACATTACAACACAACAAAGCTTACGAAAGGACCCAAGACAAGCAGACAACAAAATACTTATGGAACTAGACAGACACCAAATACTTGTAACAATTAAGCACCACTTTGACTACTCACCCGGGAGCACAGCGGCCCATGAGGCCCCGCTATCAAACCAGATATCCAGGACATCTTCACCCCGTACATAATCAGATACCGCACCTGCTTTACTCTGACAAATAATTTATAACATATATTAAATCTTTCTTGAGCACCAATTAGAATGAAATCTGAAGGATCATGTGACATAAGAGACTTCTTTAAAAAAATATTTTCAAAAATTCTACCGGTAGTATATGAAAATGTACCTTCTGAAGAACCTCTGGAGTCAGAAATGTCTCTGCTGGCTCCGTCCACCAGCTGTCACTCCCCTTCTCAGAGAAAACTTTAGCGATGTGTGTCACTGAATGTCTGAGAGAGAAAGAAGGAATTAAACATACAGTTTAAGATGAGTTTATATGTGTTTGAGTATGTCTATGACGGTGTAAGTATATACTTGTTTAAGAGTGGCTCTCCAGTATCTTTATGGTAGAACACTGGGATGGGGACGCCCCAGCTCCTCTGCCGAGATATACACCAGTATGTTCTTCTGTCCAACATTGCCAACAAACTGGACCTCGCCGATTCGGGTATCACACGCACCTTCTGCAGGGCGTCCTATAAAAACACACACCAAGAGTTTATTTTCTGCAGATAAGCACTTATATAACTTATTAGAAATCTGTCACATTTGTAATACTTTTGCATGAGTAACTAAAAACAAGCATGCTCTGATCATTAAATACATATCACATTTTTTGCAATTTATTTATTTTTTTTACACATTACAGTAATGAGAATGAGATTTTTTTCAGCATTAAGGGAGAATTTAATTTCAATACAAAAAAATGTCACTATGTAAAAAATCTAAACATTCCTTAAAACAGTCTTCATTTATTTAAGTCTATTGTCTCACCTTAGCTTTGTCTTTGAGGCTGGCTGTGTTAATAAACCATTGTTTACTGGCTCTGATCACGACTGGCTGTTTGGTCCTCCAGTCATATGGGTAACTGTGAACACAGTCCTCCTCTTTCACAACGGCACCCGCTGCCTGCAGCATTGAGATTACTGCCCACACACACAAAACATTAGTTATGATTCCTAGAATGCATATTCTTTTATTATTTCATACGCTCTAATCTTGTTCTGTTTTTCTTGTATCAGCATGATCTCTTTCCTCTCACCTGTGGCATTGCCTTCAGTCATCACAGATTTCTTCTGCAGTTCAGGCCCAGCCAGTTCTGTAAATCTGCCCTCCTCATCCACCATGCACTCCTAGTGAAGAGAGATAGCCAATTAAAAGTCATGCCAACAAGACAATATTCTTACTATTTCAGCATTCACAGGTGTGGTGACTTACTACTGGCAGATTAAAGTGTGTAGCAACACTGTAGTCCTCCATGCCGTGGGCAGGAGCTGTGTTGACCAATCCTGTTCCCTTAGTCATGGTCACATGATTAGCCGGCAACAAAGGCACTTGTTTTGAAGGAATTGTGGGATGCTGACAGACTCCACCTTCGAGGTCTGACCCTGGAGATGAATGAAAGAAACAGAGAGATGCTTAGGCCAGTTTAAAAGGCATCAAGTGAAGTAATTCAGGCCACAAACGAACACTGGATCTACCTGTGAATGTAGCCAAACTTTCTAGATTTGTCTTCAGTATAGAGGCGAGGCTGTTGATGCGCTCTGAGGCCACTAGGAGGAGCTGCTCATTATCAGCTCGCTTCACTACAGAGTACCTGAAGAAGAGGAAAAACATGTGATCATGAAGTCTCCATCAAATCATATCATGTGCATTCCACTCTATTAGAATGATTTCTGAAGGATCATATGACACTGAAGACTGGAGTAATGAAGTATGTATTTTAAAATATATTCAAATATTTAAAAAGTAAATTTTTGATCAAATAAATTCTAATAATAAATATTGCAATTTTTTTCTCTGAATTTTTATAGTAGCATAAACAGAAATGTAAATCATTGATCTCCTCAAGCTATTGGACCTTGGTATTTCTAAAATCCTGCATACGGTCAAGAATTGTGTACTTATGATCTGACAGAATGTACCTTATTGAGAGCATGTCCAACATGCGGGTCCCCATTGGCATACGGTGGTCCATCATGAAGGCAGTACTCCTTTTTAGCTTTTTTCTCTCTCTGCCATGTGTACAGCTGGTCAAAACCACATTTCTGTGAAATGTGGTTCAGAAAAGTTCAAACTCCAGGAAAATCCCTAATCTCCAACAAAAGACAACTTCATCCGTGATCTCAATGTGTGTGGCAGTTATGGAAGTACTACAAATGCTATCATCTTAATCATTCAGGATGATTTATGAAGTTACAGAACAGAACCACTTAGATCAGATCTTTCGGTTTTAACAGCAGCTTTTGTATCTGTATCTGGACCTGTCACATTTACCTGCTGGATCTGGATCTCTCGCTCCAGTAGATTCGGCCCGTTCACTCTCATGGGGAAGTCGGTGCGGGGCAGCAGCACAGTGTCCCGGTACCGGCCCGCTGCGTCACCGGAGCATAGACAGCGCAGTCCCCATCGAGCCACACCGCCGAAACCTACTGCCGAACGCCGAACCAGCAGCATGAGGGACTCTGACAGGTGAGTTCGCGACCAGGATGAGAGTTTGTTGTGGGATGTGACCTCCTCCTCCGCATGGGCGTCACTCTGTGTCTACCGGAACCATAAGAGCAACGGACATCTACGGAAACTGAGAAGAAACAAACTATCCACATAAACGAAAACGCCTTCTTCATGTTGTGAATGAGGATTTGAAACGCAAGAGGGCGCCGTGGGCTTCGAAGGCAGTGATAAGAGAAATAGTTGTTTGAACTTTTATACAATATATATATATACAATCTTTAAAATGCTTAGTTTTATGATCAAAGCTTTTCGTTTTAATTATGGGGGCAAAACATATAATGCGATACAAAGGAGGACTGAAAGATTGACAAAAAACGTTCCCCCAAACCCTGTTGTATCATATTTGATACAATTATTTTAAACAAGTTTCTTCAGTCCAGTAAATTTTCATCTTGAAATATTACTAACAATATAAAATTATTCTTAGTTTTTTTGTTTGTTTGTTTTCATCAACACAACTAATGCTGCTCATTTTATATCTAGATTTTATTCTTTTCTATACTCTAATGTCTCTGGACTCTTGAACACGGTGGCTCGTAAATGGGAGGAAGATCTGTGTAATGTCTGTATTGACAATGACTGGCAGGAGGCCATGAAATGTGTGAGATCCACTTTCACTTGTAACCAGCTTAATTTAATAATTAATAATGGCTTTTCTATAGGTTATGGCTGTTGAACCGTGTGGCTATCCAGTCACCAATATTAATATGTATAAATGGTGTTGTTATTATTATTATTAAAATTATTAATTTTATTACATTTTTATTTATTTGGGGTTTGTTTATGCATCTATATTTATCATCTTTGGAGTTGTTTCTGTAGTTTATTTGAAGCAAAACTCAAAGACTTGCTGTTAAATGATTGTATTTCTTTTAGGAAAAGCACATTGTACATTGATCATGTTAATTCTGAATAAACATGTCAAAAAATAAATAAATTCACAGCAAAAAAATGCACGCGTATCACGACCTGAAGGTGGCTCTCCTACATACGCTTTAAACAAGACACTAGTTTTTGTTATTCAGTTGCGGTACGTAAACATATAGCACAGTGATAAGTAATAGGCTAAGTAATTTGTCGATGTACTTTACGATATCTTAACGGAAAGCGCTCGAGCAGTATACTGTACTGTTGCTATGGTTATATGACTAACTTTAGCATATAACTTTTAATATATTATTTCAATAAGTTAGAGAACCTGTAATGGTAATTGAATAGGCTACATTAACAGTTTATCATTACTCTCTTACCTCATCGGAGGGCGGGTGTTTTTGACGTCACTTTGGGTTTAAAAGTCCCACGACTGCCCCATCACTGAGCACTGACCCTTGGTCCAGCAGGAAACTTCTCTGGAAGAAGACGACACAGGCATAGCAATGAATAAAGTTTGGATACTGTGTTTTGCGATGCTGATCATCACCGTACCATTTTCAACTCAGGTAGGCACTTTGATTTTTTCATTTAGTCTTAGGTTTATAGAAAATGATTTGTGCACTTATTTGTTGCATACATGCTTTACTTAGTAAGCATAATTAATAATATATGGTAGCAAATGCATCTACATGTAGATCCAGTTTTATGAAATTGCTCTGTAACATGGACACATGGTCAAATGTGAGCACTTTTTCAGACTTTCTTTTGCCTTCATGTTTGGTTTAGGATAGCTCTGCTCAGAAGTCCTCAGGTGGACGCAGTAGATCATCATCCAGCACGTCCTCTACAAATTCCAGTGCCGTAGGATTGGGTCCTGTGCCCACCACACTGTACCTACTGATACCTGCAGCCACCCTGGGCTTCATCCACACTAGATCCTAAACTGATGGATGGAGAGCGTTCGCCATTGATGACCAAGAATGAGATAGTGGTGAAATTAACAAGCCATTCACCCAAAGAGCAAACTTCCACAAATTTCGAAGATAGAAGACACCACAACTCACATTTTTGTAATGGATTTTAACTAATGAAATTGAGTAAAGTTTGGAGAATTTCTCCAAGAGGGATTTGTTTGGTTGCACCTGTTTTAGGTAGCTTGAAAGACACCTGCAACTCAGGATCCTGCTACAGAACCACACCAATGGGCTCTTTGTCGTGTTTTGCTCCAAAGTCACTGTTTGTTTCTCCTATGCTCAGTATATGATTGAGGTTAAGCAGATTAAAGAACTCCATTACTTAAATCAGTAATCACGCATTTACAATTTCAGCCCAATTTCCATTTCTATAATGACATTATGTGTACTACAGATTTTAAATGTACTAAATGTGATCAATGTACTCCATCTCAGAATGTGTCTGTATGCACAAATAAATTAGATTAATGTATATGTATGTCTTTTTTTTGTTCAAATTGGTATTCATTTGTTCTTCTAAGATATATAATCAGAGCTTTATAACAGTTTTTTCCCATGTGTTTTATTAAAGAAATTAGATGAGTACAAATACTGTAAATTTAGCATAATCGGATTCTCCATATTTTTTTTCATGCCAACAACAGACCGAACAAAGCAACACAAAAGAGAGATTTATAATAGTTTTATTAAGGTAATAGAGTAGAAAATACGGGTACCCTAGATTGAAATTTATTAAATAATTCAGTGTATTTGACATTTTAAAAACAACTTTTATTAAGAGATCTTCTCAGATAAGAGGATGTGATCCTCCTAAACCAATGGGCAGGCGTTAAAACACGTCACACATCAGTCACTGTGAGAATAAAACACCCCGCCTACAGTCCTGCATCACTGAGCACAGACTCTGCCCCACAGAAAACATCTCTGGAAGAAGAAGAAGAAGAAGAAGGCATCATCATGAATAAAATACTCACATTGTGCCTTGGGTTACTGATTATAACCTTACCCTTTTCATCTCAGGTGGTAGGCACTGTAATTTCTTTCACTCTTGCCTTATGAAGATTTTTTTTTATTTTTTATAATTCTTTAATAATTTTGTTAATTAATTTGTAATAAACTTTGGTACATTTGGTAAATAATTATTAGTTGCATGTATATGCAAAATGTTGATTATACAAGAAAGGTGTCGTCAGTTCTCTGCATACCATGTAGATGCAGAAGCGTGAGTGGATTTTGTCTTCTCTACTACTTAACATTATAGAGTCTAAGTTAATTATTAAGTGTCAATATAATTTAGTAGAATAGTAATAATATCAACAAAGTGCATTTTCAAGCAGCTTCTCAAAATAAACTTTAAATTGACATATACTGTATTTAAAAAAAAAAAAAAAAAGGGCGGGTAACCTAAAATGGTTTTTGTGGTAACATCAAAATTAACTAGCTCTAATTAAAGACAAAAAATATTGTTAAATATGGCTGTATCAGCCTGACTAAACTAGGTTACAGCAGCAAACATTATTAAACAGTCTGATCAGGCAGAAATTAATCTTTAAGGTAGCCTAATAACTGCACATTTCTACTTTTAACAGTGTACATTACAGTAATATCAAATAATCTGCTTATTTATTCTGACTTTTTTCATTTTGGTGTAGGAAAACTCTCAAGAGAAGGGAAAAACTAACAGCACTAGTCCTGGTACTGGTACTGTAAATCAAAATGTGGGCAATGCTGCAGGATTGGGTCCTGTGCCCACCGCGCTGTGCCTGCTGATCCCAGCAGCCACCCTGGGCTTCATCCACACTAGATCCTAAACTGGCTGGAGAATGTTTAGATGACCAAGAGGAGCAAAGACGTGAAGAGCAAACTTTTCCAAAACTCTTCAAGATAGAGGACTCAACCAGAACAACTCAACAAGAAGGTGTCACAACAACTCTCATTAGTTACAGATGTTTTTTTAAATAATAAAAACTTTTTTTTTGAAGGAATTGCCACTGTATACTGTACAGAGGGTCCTCCAAACCCCAACAAAACCACACCATCAGACTCTTTGTTGTGTTTTAGTCCTTGCAACATTTTGTGAAAGACTGTATGAATATGATCATTGTAATCCACCTCCTCCAAAATATTTTTGTACTAATTGTGACGAACTATTAATTGTAATGATTAAAAACGTGTCTATATGCACAATTAAAGTGGATGATTGTGTGTAACTTTTTATCCAAATTCAAATTTGTATTAATGTGTTTAGAATGTAATATTACACTGGATTAAAGTTTTATAATTCCTCTAACATTGTCAATATAATTAGTGTGATCTTGGCTTTGAAACAATCTATTTGGCGCACCTGTGTTTAGAGGAAGGAAGCCGGATGTGTGCAGTCTTTCAGTTTCAACAACCAATCAAACAGGTTACAAATATCTGTCAACTAGAGCAGAATAAAATAATAATATGCAGTCACACCACTCGGGACAATAAAAAAATTACTCAGACCACCACTCAGCAGGTTCGCAGATCAGAATCAGCTTGATTGCTCTGGATTCAATTAATTTGACATTAAAGAAAAATGTTCACATGACAAAAGCTGCCATTGTCCCAGCAACGATCCAAAGATTTCAGCAGCTTTTCCTTTTTCAATTACCCACATCCTCCATCTCTGGAACAGGTTTCCTTTCCTTCAATTTCTCTCTTCATCACTGTCTCTTTTCTTTTGTATCTATACTCACTTCAATCACACTTCTTTCTCTCTATCCAGATTGAAACATTGTTATTTCAAACTACTACTCTTCCATCTTATTGTATCCCATTACACTTAAGCTCATTAAGAGCTGGCCTGCAGTCTTATTTTAAATAAGAGTTTCTGTATTTAAGAGTAATTATTAGTGAAATTTACTAGTAATTTCTGAGTGAAAACGGCTTCTACACTTTTTTTCTTTTTAAGAAATGCTAAGTAAACACATTGAATAAACCGAAGTAGAAAGACTGAAATAGTATTTTCTTGAAAAAAAAAATTTCTCTATCCTTTTTTTTTTGTACTACTTCAAAAAAGTTTACCTTAAACAGTGTGTAAGTTCACTTCTGAGATGCTGATGTCTTTTTTCCCGGATGTAAGAGTGGTATAAGTGGTCTGTTCAGCCGAAACTCAAAAAGGGAACTTGGTTCATCTATTTTAGAAGTGTGTTTGTGAGAAACTGCATTTATCTCTTCATATT